CCGTTCTCTGAGTTCAGGAGTGCTTGGGTACCCGGTGCTTCCCTAAAACTGGATCTCGTTAAGGGTATCGGGTAAGGTGCTCCAAAATGCAGGTTCTCAATATCAATAGAAAGTCGTAGCGGTATCCGTTTAAGAGTATTAAAACTTCCTTATGTCCGCTGACAAGTGTGTTTTAATCTGAGAAGGGAATTATACCTAACTAACCAAAATACAGTATTCTAAACTGTGTTTTGAAAACTGAAATGCAAACTGGCATGCACTTAGAAAAAGACAATTTAAGGCTCAAGGTAGCTGACACAAATGCTACGCTGAACAAGGACGGGAGTTGGGAAAAGCATCTTTCAGAGCACGGTGCCCTGGGATCTGTGATAAGACCAAAAATGCGGACTCCCACAAGTAAGCAGTTCTCAGGTATCTGGAGGTCTTGGCTGGGAACTAACATGCAACTTTTCCTGACTGAACACTTATTGCTGTGGTGACGGTCACACCTACCTGCCCTTGCGCTCACGGCAGCGACGCATGAGCACACGGATGGTGGTGAAGGAACACCTATGAGGGAGGCGTGGTCACCTTTTCTCCCCGTCACTGTAAAACACATTGGGTTGGGTTTTTTTTTTCTTGTCCTTTTGTTAGTGTTGCCACAGGGTTAATACTTTTCTGAGCAACAGTTTGATTTTTTTTTTTTTTTTGCGTTCTTACTTTATTGTGCTTTCATCTTTTATGTGGCATTGCTGAAGTCCGAGCAAATATTTAAAAACAGTGTGTGAGGAGACAGGTCACAGAGAAGTTGAAGTTCGTGTTCCAAGAACTGTAAAACTCTGAATTGAGTAAGTCTGAGGTTTTCTGCAGCAGACTGTATACTTGAAAAATTCTTGGTGTTGAAGTAGGCTCTAAATCCAGCTATTTGCAACACTTGAAAATAAAGTGGATGTGGGGTTTTCTAATTTGGCAGCACTTCTGTGATTTCTCCTGCATTATCTTCCCCTTAGCCCCATGTACATATAATTTGTCTGTGCTGAAAGGTTTAAGCATTCACGGGACTTTTTAATGTACATGAGGCTGTACGATCAGAATCCTTTTGTTTGCAGGACTTTTCTGATGGGTCTAGCATTGTTGGCTAGCAATATTGCATCAAGATTACCGCGTAGCACTTGTGAACTCGTGCTTATCATTTGTGAGCCCTTTGGGAGCAGCCTGGTAGACCCGCAGGAATATTCTCCTCAGCGTCATTAGTTCAGAGTGATAGCAGTTCCTCCTAAGTGTAGGAATGCTTGCGTATAGTAGAGAAATAATGGACACCTAATATGAGGTGTTATCACCAGAAGCTAGAAGCTAAATAAAGCCTTGTGTCAAAATTTCTACTTTTTGCTACCACAGTAATGGCGCAAAGCTTTGTGTGTGTGGCAGGTTCATTTTAAGAAGCTGGCTAATAATAAGAAATTGTGTTTGGCTTATGTGATGAACTCAACAGGATATATTTCTTACATGAGGCTTTTTTCCCCCCTGTACGCTTCCTCCTGACCTGACCGAAAACAGGCTGGTTAATGAACCGTGTAATCTCTTAAAAAGTTCCCGCATTGTGTGGAAGAAGTTAAAAACACTCAGCTGTCCCACGGGGCACGTTTTGAGCCCTCAGGAGTGGCAGCTATGGAGCGTGGCAGACCCCATGCGTGCTGGGCTGTACGCTGCAGTCCCTGCCCTGGCACCTGAGTATCTCACCCCTTCTTCATGGATCATAGTGAGTCTACAACGACAGTGTGGAACGTGAGTTCCACATATGCTGACAACCATGGTGCGTTCATTTGCCCTGCTGTGCCTGTGGGGCTGGTGGAGCTCGTTCCAGTCTGTTGTCGCTGCTGCTATGCCATGTGCTAGCTACACAAAGCTAGTTCATGCTCCAAGTCTTCATTTTCCAAAGCAAACATAAAGCTTTGTGCAGTTGACAGAATGTATTGACTCTGCTATAAGTGATATAACTGAAGCTGAGTTTATTAGGCCTCCTTAAGCAGTTCTTTCTCCCTTTGAAAAGATTGAGGCCTCAATGAGTGATGAGGCTGGGCATAAAATGACAGTGAGCTGTGCTTGAAATTCTAGATTCTTAGCAGAGTTTTGTTTGTTTTTTTTTAAATTAAAAACACATTAAAAAGCCATCCACTTTAACACACCCAGAAGTCAAGAAAGGTGAATTATCTTCCGTGATCTACAAAACAGCGTTCAGAACCGACAGCCACCAAAACACTAACTTTAATGTCTCTTGGGAATGGCAATGGTCATTTCTGCCGTTCTCTGTAATGCAGCAGGAGAATTGAGTGGCAGAAAGTAATACTGGGGAAGGTGGAAAGGACCCTAAAATGCAAAAATCTCTCAAATTAACTGACTGAAACTCCAGTATCTAAGCAGCCCTACCTGTTATTCAACAGCTGATGTGGAAGAAGAAATTGTTAGCAGAGGTGGGCTAAAAAAGGGACGAGGGGGATGGAGGGGGAGAGCTGAAAAGGGAGAGGTACAGGTGTGTCGCTGGGGATAAAGGGCAAATGGCATCTCCACCGGAGTGTGTGTGTATATGTGTGTGTGGCAGCAAATTACTCATGGAGACTTGCATGTGGATTACAAAACCTAGTTTGTAGGCATCATTTTAATTTGTTCGGTCACAGTTTCACTAATCCTTATATGCATGGGAGTAGGGGGCACACCATCTCACAGGCTTTCACCTAAGTCAGGTCTACCCACAGACCTGTTGCATCAAATATACACTACTCCTTGCTTCATTGTGTTAGTGGTATGTTGCCAACAGTTTCCTTTGCTGAGAATATGCTTCTCCAGCATTTTACTTTTTGGTGTGGAGGCTGATGGGATGCTTGCAGCAAAAATCTGTGAGGTTGAAAGAAGTTCAGATGTTCACTTGTGCCTCGGTAAATGTTAACTGAAATGCTGTCACTTCAAATTTACTGTTCCTCGGACTGCAGCAAGGGGAAGTGTTTCAGGCCATTCTGCAGCAAGGAGATCTGCCTGCAGGAGCTATGCAAGATAGTGTAAGGAGTGTTTAAAACCTGAGGTATGTTAATTTAAAGTATGCTAACAATGGCTGCATCTTTTCTTTGTTTTTCAGAATTGGTCCGGGAGTCTTATTGTAGCCTCTTTAACTGGTGCTTTCGGGTCGTCTTTTCTTTATGGTTACAATCTGTCAGTGGTGAATGCTCCTGCAGCGGTAAGTGACTGACAAAACTGGAATTGAATATCAGTAGAGGGCAGCCTTGTCCAGCTAGTGTGCGCTCCTCAACATCCTGCTTTTATAATCCTCCTGATGTAGTAGAAGAGGTTACATCTCATATGGTAACTTCCCTTTGCCCGAAGCTTCTTTCTGCTGTCTGTGAGGTTTTCACATAAATTCAGTAGCTGTCAGGAAACTAAACGCTGCGATTGAGGTGAGTAGGTGCACGTGGTTTGTTTCTCATTCTCCCCAAGCCCAGAATAATACTAAATCTTCTTGCATGCTTTTGCATGATAAGGTATTTTTAATAGTCTATCTTTCTGACTAGTGAGTATTTGGTAGCTCTATGCACATGTTCAGCAACTTCTGTTCGCATCGTTCAGTTCTGGAGGGTTGCACAATGTTTCATTCCCACAGTACCAATATTATAAATAATGTCTCTGGCTTCCTCTTAAATAATGGGCCTCTTCTTCTGCATTTCGCGGTGATGCCTTGTTTGGTTCTGAATTCAAAACTGCTGTGTTGACCATCTGTTGGCTGCAACATATGGAATAGATTTGATGAATAGAGCACTGTGAAATCACTGTACAGTATTTGGGGTGATTTCATTAAAATACCAGTTATCACAAATGGAAATCTGAACATTCTGTTTTTACACTGGCTGTCTAGAGATCCTCCTTATTCAGTCAAGCACAGCAGTAAGCAATTCAGTGGAGTTACAAGCAATACTATTTTGAAAAAGTAGCTAGTAAATTTTGGAAACTAACGGTGGAAGTTCCATTTCAGAATAGTTCCTTTCCAAAGCTAAGTTCCTTCTTTTATGGAAATCTCTTATTAAAATATGTGGCTAGGTTTCCACCTGAACAGGTTGGTCACATTAAAGATGGATGCAATATTTATGCAAATAATGAAAGAAGAATTTTTTTAAAATTTATGTTTCGTATATGTATTTTATTTGGTAAATTGATGACCCAAAGGACTAGGAAGAGACACACCGTGTAGGAAGTTTTAATTGCCTCCCATGTAACTTCTGGGAATTTTCTTGAAGTTCCTGGTACTTTCTGCACCAATAACACAGGGTTGGACAGATTGGATGTTTATTCTAGCATGACATGTCTAGGCATCACTTCACCTTGTAGTCATCAGAAGATAAACATGGCTTGGAAGAAGTCAGCCGGAAGCTGAAATTCTGTGAGCAATGGTATTG